GGTGTAAATTATTGTAATGGTTGGTTTCTAGTATTTCGAACATTTTCACAATGTGGAATTGTACAAGATCTTAATATGGGACATTTTTGTGCTAAGTTTATGATGATTTTGTTCAAATCATGTGTATATTTTGGCTAGTCCAAAAATCCAAATTTAAATTTAGGGTTGTTATTATCAACTGCTCTTGATATACAAGAAAACTATTCCTAAGCAAATGTAAGAAAAAACAAATAACTTTTTTTAAAATCCTATGTTTTTGTCAACTATTATTTCCAAACAACACAGTGAATAAATAACTGGCTATTTTTTTTAGTACTTACAGGATAAACTCCACCTGACAAAGCTTTGCCAAGAATTACAATATCTGGTCTGACATTTTCATGATCACAGCACAGACGTCTAAAAATATTAATTAGATAAAACACTGTATTAGAGTACAAACACTATAAGTTTGTAACATAAATACCACTAAATTATGCTAATCCTATTGTTTTCTATTGTTTAATTAGCACTATTTACTACTAAATAGTGCAAAGTGTTGCACACTTTTAGTGTTTGTACTCTAATATGAAGATTCTTATTTAAGCCGTGCATATAAAACTTACTTTCCAGTTCTTGCAAGGCCTGTTTGCACTTCATCAGCAATAAATAAAACCTGGAAAATATATGAACATAGATAAGCTTTATAAAAACAAGGTCTTTAAAATACTATTGTAAAAAATTAAATCCTAATGCAAGACTTTCCTTAATTAGTTAATTCCTTTAAAACACTGTCTGTAAAATAATGTTTCCACCTAATAATAGTATGATGTTTGTATCTGTATATCTTTAATTAGATTTCCCTTAGTTTCAATGTATTTATTACGAGTCTCTAGTTCATCGTACATATTAACATATAAACAAATAACATTTCCAATGCGATTTGAACTGGTGCCAGTGCGTAGTTATGAACATAGTGGTAAGCTTACATTGTATTTGGTACATAGCTCCCTCACTCCTTTCAGGTATCCTGGATCTGGTATATACACTCCAGCCTCCCCCTGGATGGGTTCAACCATGAAGGCACAGGTGTTAGGATCACTGATTGATTTCTGAAGAAAAAATTATTAAAAAAAACACTTTCAATGCATGAAAATAAAAGAGTTACCAGCAAACTAAGAGAGGAGAAGATAGGAACGAGTACAAAATCTAGGGGGATAAAAATAAAAATATTTTTTTTGCTGTGACTAGCTGGAAATCTTAGCTCCAGTCTAGGACTACAACTCTGCCAACAAATATGAAACTTTTAGTGTGCATTCCTTTCTTCATGTGTCTGCACTTCTTTGATAATTTTTGGAAAAGAATTTTTTCAGAAGACATAAAAAGACTAAAAGTTTTTCATGTTTGTGTGCAGAATTGTTCAGGTTTGGAGACATGGCTGTGGCATGTTTCACTGGAGGGAAAAAGTTTGGTGACATCCATCCATAGTAAATTTTACAACATTCAAATGTTGATTTTTAAGGAGGGAGTAAAAGTGGTAAAAACCTCTAGTGGGCAAGGGGAGATAGCAACATATAAAACAAATTCAACTTACTTATTATCCAGTCCAAGCCAGGGCTCAAACTCAGAACAGGGTGGACAGGGTCCATTGAGGGGGTGGGGCAGGGGGGTTACAGCCCTCCCCCTCTTTTCCCATATTAGTCTCGTATATTTTCCAATCTTAGACCCCCTCTCCCCTTTTAGGGTGCTCCATGGCTCCTGGCTGTAAAAGTCAAGCAGTAAGCCACTAAGACACCCACAAAGGGGTACAAAGTGGTCACTAACCTGAAGGGGTGGGGGGAGGGGGAGGGTTCTTCCTCAGCAAAACATCATATTAATGGGTATTGATTGACATCAGTACTAACCTCTAGGGCAGCCAGATCATTGTATGGTGTAATCTCTATACCAGGTAAATAAGGTCCAAATCCCTCATAGCAGGCAGGATCAGTGGATGAAGAAACAGCAGCTAGAGTCCTACCCCAGAAGTTTCCTTCAGCAAATACAATCTTCGCCTCGTTCTTTGGTATCTTCTTGACATTGTAGCCCCACTTTCTTGCCAGCTTACAAGCCGTTTCTCCACCTTCGACACCAGTGTTCATTGGCAGGACTTTGTCGTAGCCAAATAACTGGGTAATATACTCTTCGAATTCACCAAGAACATCGTTATAAAATGCTCTAGAGGTAAGAGCTAAGACTTCCACTTGTTTTTGTAGCGTCTCTACGATTCTTGGATGTGAATGTCCCTGGTTCAAGGCCGAGTAAGCAGCAAGAAAATCGAAGTAACGTTTGCCATTTACATCCCACACATTAACACCCTTCCCTTTCGCAAGGGCGACTGGTAGAGGATGGTAGTTATGAGCTCCGTATTTATCTTCCCGTTTAAATACCTGCTCAGGATTTAGTTTTGCGTTGCTGTTGAAGGCTGTTGAAGTGGCGAGGGAACGTGAGACAGCCACACGTGAAACAAAACGTAGTGAAAAAGTGCGAAGCATTTTTCCACCAGCAATAAAATCAATGAAAAATTAGTTCAATTGGTAACAATAAACGACAAAAATCAAAAGTACAATCACAGATTTTGGTTAGATTTGGTTATTTTTTCCCAGGCCAGTTGAACAGGACTTCATCCAGTGCAACAAGAGATCAAAAGAAAGAACGTGGCGGCCGTAAAGTATTATGGGACAAGGCTACTTTGATTCGATTGGTTAATAAACCAAACACGTGGTAAGACGTCAGACGAGGATATCACACGGGAGGGGTCACAGAAGGGTTCCTTGAGTAAACCACGTGTATAAACTGGAAAAATATTTTGATACGTGTATTTAATCATTTGTTTATTTTCTCGTTTCAAATATTTTTTGGTTATCAAAAATATATTCACCAGTATTTATGGAAGGGATATAAGTCCGAGAGACGAGACAATTCTTTAGTTTTAGGTCATAATATCTTGGCTTTTTAGCAGTGCTTTTGATATATTTAATCAAGTTTAGACATCAAAATTTTAAATCGTATATATCTAATTTCTTTGTATATTTCACTTTGTATTATTGGGTCAGTGTTTATAGATATTGTAGTTGCATTATGCTTAATATTTATTGTTAAAAATTTAAAAAAAAGTTCTTATCTTGTAGTTGAAGCATGTTATTATCATTTAATCTTTCTTATCAAAAATGTATTCATCAGTATTTGAGGAAGGGATAAAAGGGGGATAAAAATCTGAGGAGAGACAATTCTTTAGTTTTAGGTCATAATATCTTGGCTTTTTATCTGTTTTATAGACATTTTAAAACGTATTTATCTAATTTCTTTGTATATTTGCATTATTGGGTCAGTGTTTATAGATATATTGTTGCATTTGTTAAAAATTTAATAAAACGTTCTTATCTTGTAGTGCAGCATTTTAATATTATTTAATCTTTCTTATCAAAAATATATTCATCAGTATTTGAGGAAGGGATAAAAATAAGAGAGAAGGGACAATTCTTTACTTTTAGGTCATAATATCTTGGCTTTTTAGCTGTGCTTTTGATGTTAATCAAGTTGTGTGACAGAACAAGCTGAGCGACTAGAGCAATTTACGTTGCCTGCATTACCCCTCTTGCCCTCTTGCTCAAAATATTTTATTGCAAATTAAAAGTATTATCAAATTGTAGCTCTTCATCGGCCAATGAAAATTCAGTGGTCAACAAAACACTATCAACACTTCAATTTATTTACAATAAATCCATTTATTGCAATTGATACAAATTAAAACTATACAAGAAATAGTTCAAATGTCAGCATTTCTTCCCTCTATATTTTCTCCATAAAAATTGATTTCATACTAAAAATTGCTATGAATAGTTTGGTTATTTCCAAACCCAGATTGAAATATGTAAAAATGTAAAATTCCATTGGTTGCTCAAAATTTACTAATATTTGAATTCATTTTAATTATTCCTATTACATATTCATGAAAATGGTAATTTCGAATATTGCAGTAAAATGTGATACTTATACGGTGATACTTAACAGTCAAAAATCTCTCTCAGAGCCACACAGTTTATAATATGTTAGTAACTACGAAGTAACTATGATGTTGTCTGGAACTCACTCACAATGCATACACAAGGTGTATGGTGAGGTACTCTAATTGGTAAGGTGAGGTGCTTGTTTTCACAGCTGCCATGTTGGATAAATTTAACAAAAGGTTCATCATTAGTCTCTTTTGTTATATCATCCAATGCAACATGGCCAATGTGTCTTTTGTCATTTTATTTTCTTGTTATTGATTGAAAGTCAGCAAAAACAATGAAATAACACACCTTAACTTACTGTGATCCAGTTTTGTTTGTTTACATGATTGCAACATAAAACAGTTTATATAGTCCTTTGAAAGGTATATTCATGCTAAACAAGGAAATGATTTGGTGGGTGCATGAAATGATATTCATAAATAAAGTTAAAAAAATTGATTGTAGTATCTTCAACAAATTAATCCAGAGTAATGCTCAAAGTCCTTTGTTGAAATACACTTTGTGCAAGGAGTCACCATACTTTGCCTTGACTATGTCTTGCAGCTCAGTTTCTAAGTGACTTACGTTAAGTGAGCTAAAAAATTAAAGCAAAATCAAATATTATAGGGTATAATATACAGTAACTTAGATTACAGATGAAGGCCATTGCTAATTGATCGAAACCTCTTGTTTATAAATTAAATCAGAGACAAACCAAATATTAGTAACTTAAATTAGTTTACTAATTCAAATGTCTGAAGACTCACCTTTGTTGAGGGAAGATAGCACAGCACAATGGTGTTGCAAATACAAGACTGCCATAATGGAAAAATATATTATAAAAAGACCAATATAATTAGCAGCTGTTGAGTGATTGGAGGAATTTGTCTTTTAAAACAGACTTACCAAAAGCCAACAAGTAGAACCTGGATGGGAGATGCTAAAATAGGAAATCTCTGCAATTACAACCAGATTAAAGTAATTAGGATTTGTACTAAGTATATCCTCGTAGGAAGGAGAGAGATATTGACAGTTTGGGGGGTCAGGAAAGTTGGAAGTGAGTAATAACTTTCTTTATCAATAGCATAGCTGAGAGGAACAAGAAGATCTGTTCTGTATTTTCAAATTTCTGGTGCAATCTCCCAATAAGGACCAATTTTTTTTACCAAGAGCAGATCCAGGGGGTGAGGGAGTTGAAAACCCCCTCCACCTGAATATTTTGTTATTCACAAACTTATATCTGAAAAGGCAACTTTAGAAGCAGAATTTGCCAAGGTATGAAATATACTTTGAATAATAGCCATGCAATCCTCTGTTTAAAAAATCCTTAAATTGCCATTAGCACTTTGAATAGCAACCGCACTTTCAAGTTTACCTTCATAAATGCCTTTGTCTCCAAGTATTGCATTATGAATGGGGGGAAAACTACAAGAAAAAAATGAGTTAAAAAAGTATTTCCAGAATAACAAAAAGCAAACAAACAAGCTAAGGAGTGAATGAATGAACAAACAAACAAACGAACAAATGAGCAAACAAGTGAGTATGCAAGATGCAAGCAAGCATGCCAGCCAGCAAGCATGCCAGCCAGCAAGCATGCCAGCCAGCAAGCATGCCAGCCAGCAAGCAATGCAAGTAGTGCAAACAAAGCAAGCAAGCAAGCAGGCAGACATAGTCTATAATTACTTACACATTCCTGGAGTAGCCATTCCTATTCTTGACAGCACAACGCTTGCAATTGCCTTCCTGGCTGCAGCCTGTTTTTCACCAAATAAAATAAATATTAAAAACTGATTCATAATGACTATTAAATCATTAACAATAATTAATTGTGTATACAAAAAGTGAATTACAAGGATCATGAACTTAATTAAATGTAAAAAGGTTTGAAGCCATACTGGCATGTCAAACATACTGTATATTTAACAATTAGCCAATAGTCACAATACGAGGATCATGAACTTAATTAAATGTAAAAAGGTTTGAAGCCATACTGGCATGTCAAACATACTGTATATTTAACAATTAGACCCACAGCCCTAATGGTCTATGAACCAATAGTCGCAATATTTTATCATAGTAAATAATTTTGATTAAAAAACCCTACACTTTTAAATTTTGTTAAAGATATGTTCCGATAATCTATATAATATTAATATCAAATAATTTATTTATCATCATAGGGCATTTTAATATACCTTTGATTCTCCAATTTTGTTTCCATCATGATCGGTAACTGGAATACCTTTAGCGAGCTCCCTAAAATCAGTAATGCCAAATTAAGGAGATATAGTTTAGTCTGAGATGGCATATGTTAATGTAGTAGAGCTAGAGGTTGTTCGGGGGGGGGG